AGTCAGATTGTCTCACTTGAAAAGGCCTGTGACAAGGCTACTTTATAGAGATTCTAGCTAATGTGAGCTCAGTCTTGCAGACGTACAACCCCAGAGATGCTGAGCACCTTTGACTCCTATTAACTTTAAGAGCTGTTCAGCTTCTGCAGGAACTATTCAGCACCTTGGAAGATTGAGCCACCTGAGAGTACATAAATGAGAAAGTTTTGTCATTCAATCATGACAAACCTACCAACATACTATTTAAGTTGGACAGTGAATTTCAACCTCAGAATGGACTGTTTTACTATAAACTTGTGAAATATTTCCCATGGATAACAGGATAGCTACTGATTGATGAGATGCTTTCTGGGGCAGGAAGGGATTGTTTCAATGTGACCCATATGTAGAGATGACTTTCCTTACCTGTGCTACCCACTTTTACCATCCCATGCACCCAGAGAGTCCCACTTGTGGAACCCCTGCTGTGAAGGGGTTTACTCTCCCAACAAGAAATACATTGCTTGAGTCATTATTTGTACTGGGATGTATTGAACATTATTTGATTCCTTATTACAAATTTTTTAAAAATCCTAAAAAAGAAATTTAATTTGGTTCTGAACCTAAGTTTGTTGTGCCCCAGGCTTCCTTGCCTTCAAGAGGATTTGCAATGAGTAAGAAGTTCAGGATCAGGCCCTTTTTTTGAAGAGAAGGCGGTATATTGTGCATCCTGCTTTCAGTGCATGCTGCTGAAGACTTTTATAAGCCCAGGCTATGCTACCTGAAGATGAGAGGGTAGCTTCATCTTCCAAAATACCCTTTGGGAACGACCTTTCAAAACTTTCCAGTGCAGTGAGAAAACAAGTAGAGAAAACAAGCATCAAAGAGGGCAACTATTAAGGCAGTTTCCTTCCTGTAATGAGTCAAAGCCAGGATTTTACTCTTGAAATGTCATTGTAAATCATTCACATACACAGAAAACTATATGTAAATTAGACCTTCTCTTTTCCCCTCTCTCACCGAACAACTCAAGGCTTCAAAATGTATATGGATTGCAGTCTGGCCAGGTGAGAGTCAACTGGGCTCTGCCAAAGAGCATAGCTCTGGGAAATCACTGGAACCATGCTGAATTACACTAGCTGTGGCCTGTGACCCATGAACTTCAAATGAGATACTCTTGCACCCATTTTCTTGATAAGTTAAAGTAAGTCAAGCCAATTGTAAAATGTCAGAGAGGCTCGCTGTTGCATTTCTTTGATTCAGTTAAGCTCTGCAGAGGCTAGAGGGAAGTAAATTCATATCTACTCTGATTGGTTAATGGAGGGAGACTCCCTTACTCAGCAAGAACACACATCCCCCTCTGACATACTGTACAGTTAGCAATAGTCACATGGAGGTTAATGGCAATCTCCCTGGAACTTTATGAATGTTGAGGGTTAAACAGACGTCACATGCAAGCCTGCGCTGGAGTGGCTGTGAGACGCTGAGTGCTTGAGGAGTTCAGAAGACAGTTTAAAGTTCAGGGGGTTTTGACAGGCAGCTGTGGAATCCTTGGTTTGTGCCAGCGCCACGGAAACCCTTTCCAAAACAAGTCTGAAAACTATGCTTAACTCTCTCCTTTCAGAGTCTGACTTTTGCTCTGAGCTCTGTTCTAACCCCCTTCTCCTCAGGAATGCAAGACTGTAGTTTGCATTATCATTATGTGAGGTACAATACCTATGGCAGGCAAGGGTCTTTGGGTAAATCTGATATCTTTTATTAGATCAGCTCAAACAGTTGGAAAAATTCTTCTTGGCAAGATTTCGGGTGTAAATACCCTTCGTGGAGCTGAGAAAGCATCCCAGGTACCTCTGCACTATTTACCAGCTGCTTTCATTCTCCTTCCCCCTCCCGAGCCTGTCTGTCACCCACTGACTCCTCAATTTACATCTTCACTGGCTGGTTTTCTTGCACGCATACCAGCCTCTGGCTTCTTTACTATTCATTCCATCCAGGAAGAGCATACACACCAACTGCAAAAGCTTCCTCAGCCTTATGAAGGGTATTTATACCCAAAAGCTTGCTAAGAAGAATTTTCCCAACTATTTGAGTTGGTCTAATAAAAGATATCAGATTTACCCAAAGAACCATGTCTGCCTATGTCCTCAGACCAGCGCGACTACAACCTACACCCGCAATACCTATGGATGTTTTATGCCAGAGTGTGAGTGAAGGTACTAGAGGTGCCGTCAAGTCCCACTGATTTTAAATGTGTATTGGAGGCACCTGGCATCTCAGAAGATCACTCCCAGAAAAGATCATCTTGATGGGTAAAAGGTGGGGAAAAGACAAATCCTGGTTTCATAGTAGTTAGGGGTCAGAAGGGACCTGAATAGATCATCTAGTTGAACCCCCCCCCACCGGCTGGAGCACATGCTGGGATCCCACGACCCCAGACAGGTGTTCATCTAAACTCTTTTTGAATTTACCCAAGGTAGGAGTGAGGACCACTTCCCTAGGAAGTTGGTTCCAGATCCTAGCCACCCTAACAGTGAAATACTGCCTCCTAACTCTAATCTGAACCTATTCTCCAGCAGCTTCTGGCCATTGTTCCTTGTCACCCCAGCTGCTGCTGGGGGGAATAGGGCCCTTCCTATTTGCTGCTGATCTCCCCTAATGAGTTTATAGGCAGCCACCAAATCCCCCCTCAGCCTCCACTAGCTGAGGCTGAACAGGTACAGGTCCCTCAGCCTCTCCTCATAGGCCTGTCCTGCTGCCCTCCAACCAAGCGGGTGGCCCTCATCTGAACCCTCTCAAGGCTGGCCATATCCTTCTTAAAGTGCGGTACTCCAATTGTGGCCTGACCAAGGTTGCGTAGAGGGGGAGTATCACCTCTCTGCACCAGCTTGAGATGCATCTTTGGATGGACGACAAGGTATGATTGGCTTTGCTGGCTGTGGTCTGGCATTGGCGGCTCATATTCATCTTGGAGTCAATAATGACTCCAGGATCCCTTTCCACTTCTGTGCTCACAAAGGGGGAGCTCCCCAGCTCGTATGTATGCTGTGGATTCCTTCTCCCCAGGTGCAGCACCCTGTATTTATCTACATTGAACCCCATCCTGTTACCATCCGCCCACTTCTGTAGTCTGTCTAAATCTAATTGCAGCCTCTCTCTCCCTTCGAGCGTGCCTACCTCTGCCCACATCTTGGTGTCATCGGCAAACTTGGACAATGTGCTTTCCACCCCCTCGTCCAAGTCGCTGATGAAGATGTTGAACAGTGTAGGCCCCAGGACTGAGCCCTGGGGGACCCCACTGTTCACATCCTGCCAGGTTGAGTACAACCCGTCCACCACCACTGTCTGGGTGTGGCACATCAGCCAATTTTTGACCCATCCAACTGTGTATGCATCAATGCCACAGTCGCTCAATTTATTAATGAGAATGGGGTGAGAGACAGTGTCAAAGGCCTTTTTAAAGTCCAGAAAGACTACGTCCATGATGACACTATCATCCAGGGATTTAGTTACCTGGTCGTAAAAGGACATCAGGTTGGTCTGGCAGGACCTGCCTTTGATGAACCCATGTTGATTTCCCGTAGGCATGATCTCCCCTGCTGGCCCCTCACAGATGTGATCTTTGATAATTTTTTTCAAAGATTTTTCCCAAAACTGATGTGAGGCTTATGCGCCTATATTTTCCTGGGTCCTCCTTTCTCCGTTTCTTATAAATGGGGACCACATTAGCTAGTTTCCAATCTCTGGACACCTGGCCTGTGGACCACGATTGCTCATACAGCCGGGCAAGGGCACAGCAATGACCCCCACCAGCTCTCTCAACACCATGGGTGGAGGGCATCAGGTCCCACAGATTTAAAAACATCCAACCCTTCCAGAAGATCCCTAACTACATCTGTGCAGACCTGAGGCCTGGCAGTGCTATCCCCAAGATTGCCCCTACCTGTGGTGGGAGAGCTGTCCTGGTCCCTGTCCAAGAAAACAGAGGCAAAGAACTTGTTAAAAATTTCGGCTTTCTTGTCTGGCATAGCCACAAGATTAGCATTTGAGTCTAACAGGGGCCCTACATTACCTGGTGCCCTCTTCTTACTCCCAATGTATCTGAAGAAGGACTTTTTGTTGTCCTTAATCCTGGTCGCTAGCCTGAGCTCCACCCCCGCCTTGGCCTTCCTAGTGGCCCTCCTACACTCACGGGCCAAGGAGGAATATTCCTCCTTGGTGATAGCCCCTCTCTTGCACCAGGTGTACACCTCCCTTTTGGCCCTCAGGCATTCTCGAATGCCTTTGCTGAGCCGTGCGGGTTTCAGAGCACTCTTACTCCGCTTCTTTCTCTCAGGGACTGTCACACTCTGAGTCTGGAGGACTGTCCCCTTAAGGTACGACCGTCCCTTGTGGATTCCCATATCCTCTACCTTTTGGGTTGTTAAAGGTCAAATGAAATTGTTCTTTTGAAATGAATGAGCCTGCATCAGGCAAGTTTTTGACATTGCTAATCCTCTTAAATGAACAGCTAATAAATTATCAAAGCCCTTCAAGGCTTACATTCTCTATAAACTTAGCTTTGACGTTTAAAAGCCTCTATTGTTATTAAAAACAACACCACAAAAAGAAAAACAGCACACACACAACACCATGTTGTCAATAATGTGTTTCTCACCCCCACTATAAAAAGGTTCAACAGGAAAAAGCTTCTTGCAAATTTTCACACTAAAATGTCATGTAAAGCTTAGAATGCCTTTGGCTAAAACAATAAAATATCCTGCCAGGCAAAAGTGTGGTTTGCTACAAAAATAAACTCCAAACTCTCACTTTCAATGCCACAATTGTCTACTTAATACTAAAACTGCTTGCAGGCAAAACCAAAGCATTAGGTAGAGCTGAGATCACCTGCGCAGATCCACCCAGTAACATGAAAAACTTTATGTGCAAAAAGAAACGTGATAACACATCACATAATCACAACTTAGTAAAGAAAAATCAACTGGATTTTAAAATCAGGCTTAATATAATTTCAAAGACAATACCTGGTGCTTTCTCCACAAAGATGACTTTGGAGTCTTGCAGAAAGTTGTGGCCAGAAAGTATCATTTTTTTCCCTCCAATCACAGGAAAGCTGTCAGTACTTTGCTTTTCCACCAGAGGCAGTTCTTGGGCAGATCTTTGGGCTAGCAAGTTATAGAGGGTGGGGAGGAAATAATCACAAACACATACAGAAAAATAAATAGCATTTCTTAGTAAGTGACCCAACATTTAGTCTCATTAGACAAACTGAATTTGTTATAGAAATCAAAGAAAGGTCAGGAGATCTTCAGGAACTCAGTACCCAGTTGGTTTTAAGTGCCTTAATTATACACCTTGCTATTATATATAATACTTTGAATTCAAAAGTATCATAACCTGCTGTTTAAATAGTTAGTTTGTTCTGTAATACTTAAAAATGTGTGTTTAGTTTAAAAAGGAATTTCCCCATCCAAAATGTAAAGCAATATTTGATTGTGTATCTGCCAAAAGTGTACATATGATAATTTGTATATGTACAAGTCTCTGAATATAGGGATTGAAATTCTGCAGAATGTCTCACTGTAGTCATGGGCTCAGTAACCCAGTAACAGTCACAGCCCAGAGAGCTGTGTTTTCATGTTTAATGTTTTCATTAAGTTCTGAGTGCAAGATGCATGTGGACCATGCAAACAGTATCTTACATCCTTGTGGCACATGTTTTATCATTCTTGACAGAGGTATTCATCTAGCATGTCATATTCATCTAGCATGTCTGTACTTCAAGGGATAATGTGATATTTTATCTGGCTTACATGGGTCCTTCTGGTGTCACATGTACAAAGAGATGTATGCAGTTTTGGCTTCTACGCTTAGTCCAGATTCTGTACTTGAAATAACATTTAAACTTTTCTCAGCTGCTGGTCAAAATTAAAGATCTTTTTCTGGAGGGTGATAGGAGCAGATAATACAGTACACTTTTACTCAGTCCACAGTCCCTCCAAGTGCATCCTCTGACTCACATGACACATAGATCTACCCAGCTTCATTTTTATTGGTATATTAATCTGGCATGCTTTCACATAGGAGTGGTTCAGGGTATGCACCTCCTAAACTTGCATTACCACATGATCTTACTACCATTGATGCCAACTGCAGAATTCTCAATGACTAACTGGAGCAGAAGCAGATTGTAACTGCTCATGTTATACAATGTGCACTTTATTCTAGAATTTGTCCCTTCACAAATTTAATCTTAACAATCCCAAAATGAGGACAGAGTTTAAAAATGTTTGTGTTGTTGATAGACTGCATGGACTATGCCAATTTGTGCCAAGCTAGCTCTTAGTAGTAAAACGACTGCTACTCTTCATAGACAGGACAGCCTATCCTTTGCCTAGGAAAAAAACTCGCACTTTCTTAAATGAGATCAGCTAGGGGAGGAAAGAGCCTATACTGTAGGAAAAAGGGGATCTGACCTTAGGGTCTGATAGAGCACACTTGTTCCTTGTAGTGGAGATGCCCTTTACTGAGGCTTTTCTTGTAGGGGCATCGAGGGTACAGACAGAAGTGCAGCTCTCAGCTGTAACTCAGAACAAGTTTTTACAAAGCGTTCTGAGTTACAGCATTGCACCAGACCAAACACAAGTTCACTAGGTAGAGGGGCATCTAGTTGGGGCTGGGAGCCTGTAGCTAGGTTCCCATAGCAATGGCCAGGCTCTCTGCTGGTGCTCACTGTTTTCAGAATGGGAGGGGGAAAGGCAGCAGAGGAAGCTCGTTCTCAGGGCTCCCTGGCTGGTGCTGAAGGGTGAGGGTGGTGAATTGGAGCTCCCCCCACCTTGCAGGGGGGGAGCTGCAGTACACCTGCCCCACCCTCTAGGAAGAGCTGAAGCCCCCCCAGACTGAACTCCCTCTGCTCCCTTTCCCCCCTCCCATTCTGAAAACAGTGACAGGCTGGGAGCTCAGCAGACACAAGTTACAAAAGGCACTACGTTTTGTGACCTCTTTATCTGATACCTCATGCAACAAGGGGTCAGATTTTCACTCAATTGGACATTTTTGAAGCTGTTTGCTGCTGTGCACTTATGTTTGGTCACAGCTATCAACTGCTTTCTGTGGCCAGATCAGGAGAAAATTTTCACTTCTGTCTGCACCTCCAAAGGGTAGGTAGTGTGCTCTCAAAAGCTCCAGCATCTTTCCTGGAGGTGGCACAGAGTAGTGGCAGGTTCTGGCACCACCAAGAGTTGATGCTGTGGCAGACAGATGGTGGAAATCACAGAGCCTTGACGTAAAGGAGGCTGTGGGTGAGACCCTGAGATGATTTGGAAAGGAGGGTAAGACCCAAAGATGACCTGATTTTGAATTGTTTTGCTGTTTCCATGGAGACAACAGGATGTAGGCAACAAAGGGCCATGGGAACAGATCTTGTGCAAGTTTAGTTTGTTAGAATAAGTGTCTAAACTTTTGGCTGAGAGGTTGAATCCAACGCAACCTCCAAAAGCTTTGCAAGTTCCACCCAGAAGTAGAAACAACAGGAGTTAGAATGAAACTTGACTTTCAGGAGCTAGATGAGAACTGTAAAGCCAAACAAAGCAAAAGGCTGTTCCTGTGTTTTAAAGATTCAGAGAATAAGAATGAAATGGGAGTCTCAATGGATGGAAAATGCATCCATTAGTAAATCTGAGAGGGTTATAAAGTGTAGCTTATTCTATCTAAAAGACCCCAAGGCTGAACCCCAGTACACAGAACTGCAACAAGCTTTCACTAATGCAGCCATTTTAAATATCTAGCTAGCTTCTCATCAAATCATCAAATGGGCTTTTTTTTTCCTTTGGTGAGGGGGGGAGTTGTGGGAGAAGGGAGGGATGGAGATGTGGCCAGATAGGAGCTCTCCAAAACTTTTCTACAGCAGTTACCCTCAGAAAGGGCCTTAGCATAAAGGAACTTGTCTAGGTCACTTGTGGATCAAATACCAGCTTAACACTGCAGACCAAATATTGTTTTGCCAAGGAAACACATATTTTTGATGAGTTCCATAAGAACCAGACAATGGACAAATGCAATAAAACAAAATTTAACATGCAGACAGTAAAAGCTCCATGTCAGGCAACTGGCTGTGCAATACCTGGCAAGAGTAATAGGTCTGTTACTACTTACAACACTCAATAGGATTGGACGCTACTTGCAGAGAAAGAGTTCTCCCATTGGCTTGTGGGATATGAACTCGGAAGACTAGCCGCACTCGTGTATTCTTCCTTCCGATGTCTGTTTCTCCTTTTCGTAGTTCAATGTCTGAATTTCTAAGTTTTAATATTCCGGCACAATCAATGCTGTTCAAAATAAAACACAGAGCAGTTCAACTAAATCTTTTCAGAGTTCAGATGCAAGTGCAAATTTTCTATCCTCTTTCCCCTGTTTATTTTTTTAAAACTAAGCCTCCTTCTAGAGACCTCAAGGGAACTTTGGGACAAATATTAGCACTACACAGGAGTTTTCAAGTAGTGCCAATTAATAAGATTAGACTTGCAAACATCCCTTGGCTTAAGTCTTACCATGAGTGGCTCCAATGGGGCTACTCACAAGAATAAGTGCTACATGCAGTAGGATTTGCAAAGTTCTCTGTAGGCATCTCTTTAAGAAGGCAAAAATATACAGTAGGTGTAGAAGCTTTGCACTACTGACCCAATGCACAAAGAAATACTAATTATTTTTGGTGGACACGTTTAAAGACTATTACAGTGGTGAGCAATGTAACATAAAAAGGAACAAACAGGAGTTCATCATCATTGTATTTAAACATTTCTAATCATTCCCACTACTAGCACTTTAGTTAAGAATCATTCTTAGTTTCCATTGCATGGTTTTAAAGGTTGATTCTGCAAATACTTCCTATAGAGCTATGTGCTTCTTGAAGAATTTATGGACGATCAGAATCTCAAAGCACCTTTTAAAAAAGCTTTTTAAAAAGGGTTAACAGAGAAATTCTAAAAACAGAACTTTGAATTGAAACTTGGTGCAGTTTAAATCCAGTGTAAGTTTTTGAAGATGAAGAAAATATTTTGTTTTAATCAGGCAAGTCATATATTGTGATTTCTGGCTTTTTTTGTTTTATAGATAAGTCTACTGGCTGGACTTTCTGCCAAAACAAAATTAAACATTGCAGAACATTAGTTCATAGTACTAATAAGAAAAACACTAAAAATACATTAAAAATGCAGAACTACTTAAATTTTGGACCTTATTATTGTATTATTGCATGGCAATTCCTTTTTAAATATTAATGTCTAATGTGCCTTTTATTATACTGGATATGCACAGTATAATTTTATACATGTGAAAAATAAAATAAGTCAGTAAGCATGTAAATACATTAAACTGTTTCATTTTCTCCTTCCAGACCTCTTGTATCACTTCTGAAGCAAACAAAACTGAAACAGTGCTCTTCAATAGTATGCTTTGCAAATGAGGACTGTGGAAGGTTCCCCGATATTGTGCTTTTACTACTTATTAGATTAATAGGTTTCATAGGAAACAAGGCCATCACTGACAAGCTCAAAAGATGCTGTGTCACTAATGAACAAATTAAAAGCTCTTAACAATATATATTTACATAAGAAGTCCTAAGAGATATATGATATTCAAGGGAACATCAAAATTCAATATAATAATTGATATAATACAAAGAAATACATAGTGCATTTTTACTGTAATGCATGTTATCTTTTTATTATTATTAAAAAGCAGACAAAGGACTTTACCCACAGTTACTCAAGCTTCCAATTTAAGATCCTAATACAGCAAAGCACTTAAACTCATGCCTAAATTTACGTGTCTGAATACCCATTTGAAGTCAAGGGGACTATTCATATACCCAAAAGTTAAGCAACTGCTCAAGTGCTTTGGTAAAGGCAAATAGGATGATTCAAGCAAATGTTTTGCAGAACTGAGGCCTGCTTGAATAAATGAAAGTGAGAAAAGCTTTGTGCTCACCCTTACACACCTTGTTAATGTTCCACAAAGGAAGTCTGGGACTCTGAGCTATAGCAATATAGAGCTGTAGGGGTGCCAAGTGGTGGAGTTCTACTATAGCCTTGCTAACGTGCTGGAGAAATGTTTTAGTTCTGACACCAGATATGTTCAGCCACCTTTGTGATAATGATGACAGCAAGAGAAAAATTAATAATGCTCCCAGCTGGCCAAAAAATGACTTGACCTGGGCAAACCAAGGGCCAAATTAATACTCTGCTGACATAAATTCGTGCAGCATCATTAAGCTTGATGGAGATGCACCAATTTACAACAGTAGAGAATCTGACCAAGCATTTTGCAAGGCAATTGTGCTATAAAATAAAATGAAAGGCAAGAACCCTGAATCTTTAGTGTAATCACCCTGGCCTCGACTAACCCAGTCATAAACCTCACTCTGGCTGCTGTATGTATGTGGTGCATTTCAGAATATTGTCCAATCCAATGCGAAGTGATTTCTAACAACGGCGCTTCTAATAACTGCAACAGAAAGAGGTAAACATGGAGATACAGATTTAGTCTGCATCTTCTTAGCTTCAAAACAGGGTTACTTCATACTTCTTAGTTAGGTTACTTAGGTTAATTAGTTATTTTGTTAAGTATATGAATGTTGTGGGTGAAATTTGGGCTCTGCTGAAGTCACTGTGTGCACTAACTGGACTTCAGTTTCACTGTGGCCAAAATTACACTGCATACATGCACACAGACATTCACTTAGGTTCTCTGCACCACTTAAGACTAGTGCAGTGGCTTAGAAGATATGGCAGGCCTCAGATAAGCCATGTGCATTAGGATGAAAGTTACTTTCTGCATATTGTGTGAGCATGAAGTTCACTTGTGTGCAGAGGAGCAGTGCACAATTAAAATCTCACTTGAACTCTAATTTGGTAATTAAATGGTGGATAGGTCTTGATGCCTCCACTCTGCAGATGTCTGAACTTTATCTGTATCAACTATCATCATCAGAATACCTTGCATTTGTCTCTCAATATCATCCTTGCCACTTTTATTTCTAATTGTTTGGTTTCTAATCTGACCTGTTATTGTCTCCACTCCAATAGTGTAATTGCAAGACAATAACAGTTCTCTCTAATGAATACGAGATGTTCTGCTTTTTTCACTGACAGCTGGATTATTTGGGGGAAAAAACTTTTTGCAAGATCTCTCTTCTTCTCCTAAACCAGAGATGAGTTTTAACAAGCTCTGTTCCTTGTAGTTCTGCCTACAGAAGTAAATAGGTGTCATGTTTAGGAACTAAATGCAGGAGCTGAGGTAGGAGATATTTACAGCTTGGTAACTGAGCTACTTATTTTAAATGGCAAATAAGCACATTGGCTGAAACTCTAGAATGAAACTAATCAGTTGTCATAAATATTTGCAAAGTTTATTTAGGCATTAAACTGATTAGGGGCAGTTTGTTCTACCAAACCTTTAGAAACCTGCTAGGAAGCTGGATTATTTCTAGGATTGAGCATAAAAAAGAGAAAAATGCAGCATAAAGTCAAAAAAAGAAAAAAAAGGAAAGAAAGAATGAAAAGAAAAATTGTAGTGGGCAGCCTGGAAAGAAACTGCTAGACAGTCAGGTTCACTGTTTGGTTCTTACATTGCTCTCATGTTGTTTTCTTGCATGAGTGGAATTTCCAAGACTTTGGTGTTGGAAAGTATTGTTTCTTGGCTGGTGGTAGAAACGGTCTTCCCTGTGATTCGATGAACCTGGTAGAAGGCATGGGGTCGCAGCAGGCGGTCGTCTGCAGTCCCAATGAACAGCTGTAGCGTGAGTGGCTCACTTTCTAAGTAACCATGTAGCTGGCAAGAGAACAGAAAACTCCTACTAAGCACCATACACATAAACTGCTAGGAATCAATTAAACTTTTATAAGCAAGAGAGTCTAATTCAAGGAGAAAACTTGTGACAGGTGCTACGTGTTAAGCCCCACTTTTTCCTGTAATGTAATATTGGTACAATAAAAAGGTACACTTAGAAAATGTCTCATTATTCTAAATGACCTTAGGCACTTTAGTTTGAGCTAGCCTTTGAACAGTTTTGCTGCAGGCATTCAGAAACTTTGTATTAATTCTGTAACAGCATTCTGTGAAATACAATGGAGTCAATGTTCCCCCAGCAAACTGAAGGCAACAAAACCAATGGACTTGAAATTAGAATAGACCACAGCTCATCCCTGAATTCCCTGTATTGCCCTGGCAGCGCTAGCAAGCTGCTAGTTAGGTCACTTTTTCTTGATCAATTCTATGCTGCCAAATGCTGACCAGGATAGATTGGGAATATATTTTATATACACACTCATTCATAAAGTTTGTAAAATTCTTGGAAAACTGCACACAAATCCCACTAAGGTCACTGGGCTGAAAAGTTTTATCCATCAGTCTTGTCCACAGGCTCATTTCTGATATCTGTTGGTGAGACACAAGAATTGGCCCAGTATATCTAGCCTCACTTACTCTGCTGCGACTAGATTAGCAATGTTACTGCACTGATAGAATCACTCTGGATTTATACTGGTGTAAGACACATCAACATTTGATCTACCAGCATGGATGTATGACCCTAAATTAGCCACATAAAACTTTGTATTAATTCTGTAACAGCATTACATTAAGCTATTGGCTATTAGGCTATCACTAGCACTACTAGGCTATCAACTCCAATAATCTGACATCTCTAACATCAGTTCTATCCATGATACCTGGATAAATGTCTTTATTTAAATGCAATCTAAATGAGAATATTGTAGATTCTGACTTGCAAAGAGTGACTTTAATGGGATACAAACTTAGTTTGACAACTGCTGTGTTGGCTCACCTAGTGGATCCGTCACCTTCAGATTATGAGGGTCTGAGGTCAGAATTTTGGCTGCAGTAATATGCAGCATTCATGAGCCTTGAAAATTCAGGCAACTAATGGAGGTGTTAGGAGGGCACGTAATAGGAGGAAGTCTCCTAATTGGTTAAGTCTGCTTTAGTGTCTGGCTACAATTGGCAGACAGGAGGAATGGGGAACTGGTGATGACTCATATCACTAATGCCGTGCCAAACTAAGTCCAGTGTTGCATGCAAAATGTGAGCTAGTCAGGCACAAAGGGCTTCATTGGTTTTCTCCTCTTTGTGTTGTAGGCTATATAGTCAAAGGTATGACTATAGCATGTGCAGACATACCTGAGATAGCTTTCACCTTTAGTCACTGCTTTTTCTCTACTATCATGACCCGAGCTAGTGACATCGAATCTGGCTTCATTATAGCTGCCTGTGCTACGGTTCCACTACTGAGTGCAGCTTAGACCCAACCTTTGTCTCAAAGCCAAGATGCATCCCAATTAGCTCATTACTGTCAGACACAGAGAAATTATAAAAAAAAACCCACTTTACTCTTTGGCTGCTGAACTCATCCCTATACCAGAGAGATTCTAACAGGTATGAAGGAGCCTATCAGGAGAGTTTCCCACTATTTCATAAGCTACACAACTGTGCACCAGACATATTTGTTTAGTTTCCTCTAATAACAGTGGAGTTGCCCAGGTGCCAGAAGTTGTTACTTAATGAATGAGAATAAATTTAGTGAATATACCTGCAGATGCAACATGTGCCCAGATATCTTTGAAAACAGATCACCAGCTATTTTGCCCCAGAAAACTGATTCTTGAGACATCACAAAATCCAGAAGAACACAGATACAAACACCAGATTCCTAAATGGTGACTGGGCAGGTGCCATTCCAGGAGTGATACTTCAATTCTTTTAGAGAGGAAGATTAAGATTTAGTGTGGTGTAATCACTGCTTTGCTACTACAGAATCAATCTAACAATAACACTTTTATATTGGGAGGTTTTATGAGGTATAGCAGCCTGGTTCTTTAATTTTCACTGATACACATTGGGACATCTCCAGTTTCACCCTAGCTAGAATGGCTGCACATCAGTTTGTTAACTCCTCTTGTAGGAACATAAGATATTCCATGCAGACCTCCAGTGTACAAAAATATTTATATAATGATGATATTATAATAACAATTATATTATTAGTTCAAAGGGTTGGGTATTTGACCAGTCAAATAAAATTCAGTCAATTGACCAGTTACAAATTAGTAAAAAATTGCCAATAGGTCCAATTAATACACCAATAAGTACAATTTTTCCATTAAGAAATTTGTCAAAAAACAATAAAAATCGTATTTCTGTCATGAAAACTACAAAAAATGTAGTTTTTTGTAAAATTGCTATACTTTTTGACCAGTCAAAAATATGCAGTCAATTGACTGGTCAGTTGACAATATTTGACTGGCCAACTGACTGGGTTGTCAGCTCTATTAGTTCATGCTTCAGGTCCTAAGATGGTTACAACATTAGTCAGGAAGAAAATGCGCATGCATAAGTTGGATTCCAGACGTGCAGGCAGGTGCGTTTTTTTGGCACCACAAATGTCTTTGCAGCACTGTAAACCACACACCCGGCATGTTAAAGCATGCCCTGAGCTGCAAATATGCAGCCTGGGACAAAATTTGCTACCGGGAAATCCATGTAGCAAAAAAACACTGCAAAAAAGCGGCTCAGCTCATGCCACAGGAGCATGCACTGGCAGCCATGGAGGCTTGCTCCTCCAAGGGAGACACTCTGGCTGCTGGCCAGAGCATCTCCCCTCCTCTAGTTGTCCCCTGACTCCCCCAGGTATGGCAGGAGCTGGGAGAAGCAGGGAAATGGCAGTTTGCTCCACACCAATTGCATGTGCAGGGGTGTGCACAGCAGCAAAAAGTAGCAGCACAAATTTGTGTTGCTACTATTTTTGCTGCTGCAAATGCATGCTCCTGCATGTGAGGATGTGCCCATAAGGAGTATTGCATGAGTTGCTTGCTATACTGTGGTTTTGTTCACCTTCCTTTGAATCCTCAGATACTGTTCACTGCAGATGACAGGAAATTGGCTAAATGGATGAAAACAATTTTTGTTTGCACTTTGAGGGAGAAGACTAAAAGAGATTCAGCTACATCCTATAGAAGTCCCCAGCCACGCATACACACACACAAAATCTGTAATGTTAGGATATTGTATACATAGATTTCATCTGGAATTTATGTTCAGTTTTAATGTTAAAGACATTGTTGGTGGTTTTGCCTCCTCTACTCTTTAGCTGTGGTCCACTGAAGAATTTCTCCTTTGGGCTTATGTTGTGTAAGAGAGGTCAGAGCAGACCCTCCTGTGGAATCTTTGAACAAATGGTTACACCGGAACACATGGGAGTAGATCGGGGACGGGCAATTGTTTTGGGCAGAGGACCGCTTAATGAGTTTTGGCAAGCCATTGAGGGCTGCGTGACAGGCAGCCCAGGGCAGAAAAATATTAATTTTCTAAATTTTTAGGGGCTCTGTGGGCTGGATAGAATGGCCTGGCCACATTTGATAACTTGCCCATCAAAATGTGGATGCCCTTAGAATATGTTGTTATCACAAGTATCTCTTCAGGTTTATAAGGGACATCTTTACGTTTTTCTGCATTTATAGCTCCTGCTGCTGATCTTTCATGTAGCTACTAACATTTTCTTTATTACACACAGTCCATTTTAAATGCCTAGTAAAAGTATCATACTTGGCTCTTACTAAACAGCAATGACATGGTCTTTTTGCAGGTACATACATTTGCACTGTATATGAAAATGTGCTTCTTAATGTCTGAAAAGCAAAATAAATTAGCTGCAGTCTAAGCAGCTAACAGGCAATTACAGCACAAGTTGCGACCATGTGGAAAAGGTATGTTTCTACTCAATGTAGATCTACCTCAGTACACCTTAGAGTTATAGCTGTTTACTACTGTTACCACTGCAGACTCAGTAATGCTGTCGCCGAGTAACTTGGATTCTATTTTGCCTCGTGTCTCATCAGCATTTCCAATCGTGGAACCTGAGTGATGATGTAAGAGCTGGACCTGGTGACGGTGCACCAGGCAGAAAGAACTCAGCTAGATTTTCAGCTCTTAGGAAAATAGGCAGTGTCGCCAGAAACATTACTGGGGTTTAAATTGACTAAAGCTTATCTGGAAGTTCTTGAGAGAGAAAAAAGATGATATCACTCTGCGACATCACTTTTAAAGAGTCACTTTTCCAACTCAGTTTCACTATTACTGGATAAGGAAAAACTAAACTAAACATATTGAATTCAGAGGCCTGTTAAGTTTTCAGATTAATATAGACTGAGTGAAGAAATAAGCATGTACTGTACTTAATGACCTATATGTTTTGCTGAATCATGCCACAAGGACTGAAGAAATGTTAGACTCATATCATATTCTTCTATTATAAGATTTTATTTTTAAATCAAGACTCTGGTGTTGCCAACTCCTTTAACTTCCTCCTAAGCCTTGTCTTTTAATATTTTTTCTTCCTTAATAGCTCTAGCTCCAAGACTCACATGGATACTTCAGAAACTCAGCTTTCTACTAATAATAAAATTGAGTTCCTAGCTATCCTGTTTATGGAAAAAAAAACTAGAAAATGTTAATTCCTGAAAGGTTAAAAAAACAACATATCCATAGAAAGATGCACAATGCATTATTTGTTAAACACTCATGATTTTTAAGCCAAACCCATGATTGTTAGGATCCGGGTCATAAGTGTTGAATGCTTCATTCCCGCGAGATCAGAATGCTTTTATCTAACAACTGCTTCCATCTGATGTCTAAGCTCTATTCGCTATTTGGTTCTGAATTTGTAATAGATATTATTTAGGCTATTCAGTAAGTACTGTGGCATTCAACTGCTCACTTAAACTCCAGACAAAATAAATAAAAAATTCAGATAGGTT